ATGTTTGTTTTGTTCCCAAAGTACAAGCTTAAGCAGGCACTTAGGTGTATCTTACTATCTCTAACTGACCTTGCTTTTTCTTGACAAAATTCTAGATAATTATTTTCTGGGCACTTTGATTTTCACAGTCTACCTTCTGTCAGTCATTAGGGTGGAGCCACTTTGCGCTAAGTTGCATTGCTGAGTTAATGAAATGATTTTTTTTTATTAAATGTATTATCTGCATTTGTTTTTGTGGTTTTATTTAGATCTCCTGATGGTATTTTATTTTATATTTACAGTCTCATCTGAATGTATTGGAACAGCAATGCCAATTATTTTGTTTTTGTAATACACCAAAGACATTTGGGTTTGAGATCAAAAGATAAATATGGGACATCAGATCAGAATTTCAGCTTTTATATCCTGAAATTTTCATCTAGATGTGTTGAACAACTTGGTACCTTTTGTTTGAGCAAAATTATTGGCACGCATAACTGACACGGTTCTTGTTGCCCAGGTGTGCCCTGTTAAATTCATTGTTTAAACAGTGAAAAACTCTAAATGTCTACACTTATCCTGATCTCTGGGTTTTGCCTGTGAAGACTGCATTCATTGGTAAAATAAAAAAATAAACTCACATCAAGACCAGAGAGCTGTGTATGGGAGAAAAGCAAGGTATTTTGAAGCTGAGAAAGGTGAGAAATTCAACAGAGCCATTGTTCAAGCATTGGGCAGAGCCAATACAATAATTTGGAAAGTCTTTAAAAAGAAAGAAACCACTGATGTATTAACAACCATCAAACAGGTCAGCCAAGGAGAACAGTAACAGCTTATAGAAGAAATATTGAGGCCAGACTACAAGGTGCAGACCACTCATAAGAATCTGCAGCCAGTTGCACCAGCTGAACGTACGTTCAACCATAAGTTGGGGTGTAAAGTCCATCCTAAACCTTATGTTGAGTAGAGCCGGTTTATGAGGAGCCTGGCCACTTCCTATTTCCCCCATCATATCAAAAACATGAAACACCAGAAGGAGCCAGCGAGGGAGTCCTGAATGAATGGGAGTAAATGGAGCTAAACGTTAAAATAGTTTTTAATCGCTCGTCCAGAACTTCTCTTTAATTTTAGAAAGTAGAACAATGTGTTTCACTGCAAAAGCAAAGAAATCTCACCTGCATGTTTTCTTTTTCATATAGCAAACAGATTTTGGGCAGCAGGATGCTAACATCACTGCTAGTGAGCGCTAGTTGGTTGGTGAGCGGAGCAGCTCATTGGCTGTTTGCACTCACTGACGTCAACTTGAGTTCAAAAACTCTTAAAAATATATTATGCTATTACGTGTTGAGGAAATTTCATTCTTTTACATTAAAAGCATTTAAGCATTCATAAACTATGATTTTGTTCAAATGCTCCATCTTAACTCATTCATTTTGGACTCGCTCAGGAGCGCCCTCTAGCGTTTGAGAAACCTGGAAAACATTACAGAGTGGAAACTCTCCTCTCCACAAGCTCTCTGGTTGAGAGTGGTTAGCTTGAAACTAGCGTCACATAGAATTTCAGTTGCACCACAGACACGTACAGTACATCTTAACTAGTAGTGCGCAAAGTGATTGTAGATCAAAACACTGTTGCACAGAATGACGCTTTCACTCTGCAGCCCATCAGTAATAAGGTAATAAGGTCAGCGTCACACACAACCTGAGCACTGATGGAGCTGCTCTTATTGTAGCAGTTGACTTGTGCACTTGAATAGTTTCGCCCATCAGGTTTTGGAGCAACCCTGTAGCAAAATATCTCTGTGCCAGACACAAAGTAGCACTTTTTGACAGATTTTTCACGGCAGAACTCACACCGACTGTAGGGTATGTGTAAATTTTAAGTTATAGCTTAAAGCTATGTTGAAGCTATGTTACTTGGTGCAACCAGTTAAATTCTAGTAGTTCATAAACTTGAACATAGTGGCAGTTCACATTCAAACTAGGCTACGATCAAACTTAGGTTCAGCTGGTGCAACTGGCTAGAGTGTGAAGAGAAATTCAGATATAAGCCACAAGTTCTGTAACGGAATTTTATTGGCATTTTATTCTGAATTTATGAGACATCTACCAAAATGATGGTAAGTGTGGAGAAAGGAAGAATCTGATTATGATCCAAAACATACAAGCCAATATATTAATCTTTATTGGTAATGTAACGTATGCCTGTAGCAGCAGAATGAATTCAGAAGTTATTTAACAGAGAAATCCACACTGGCAACGAAACAACGGACTTATCGGGGGAAAAATGTGGAATCTTGTGATCTTAAACCCAAATGGCTTCATGTATAGCAAAATCGGCCTTGCCGTTCCAGTACATTCGGAGGAGACTTTGAGTGCGTTTTTGCCACTTACATGTCTCTAAAGCTACTTTCACACAGCAGGTAAAAGTGGCCCAAATCTGAGTTTCAGATTTTTTTGTTTGGCTGTTCTTTTAAATGTGATCTGTATGCGACATCAGTCTGAACAGATCAGCTCCTAAACTGGCCCGCATGCACAAAAGAACAATGCGTCACGTTGCTTCAGGTAAACAATTGTGACTACCAACGAACGCCAGTCGCTCCCGGAGGATCAGCTTCATCTTCACCAGCATCAAGAACCTTCACTGACTGACAGGTGGGCTCATCACCCAGAATGTGTTCGAGCTCGCCGTAAACCGGGTGCGGTCACTTCTTTGGTTCATGTCCTCGGAATCTTTGAACTTTGCTTTCAGACTTTTAACTGTTCTTTTCTCTTCAAAACGGAGGGTTTTGGATGAGTCTTTTCTATTTTTCTTTTTTTTTTTGTACAGAAACATCACCCCAAGTGTTTATGAATCTCAGCAGCTCAAAATTATGGCAAACAGGATTTGACGTAAAAGTCGCATGAATTCCGATCTGGCTGTTCAGACTGAGTCACACTGCTGCAGATCAGATTCGTATCGGATTTCAGTACCACATATGAAAGCATCTCAAATCGAAGTTGAAAATGTCAGATTCAGTGTGTTTATCAGTTCACACTGACACACAGACACACATCTGTGTCACACATGGAGAAAAAGATCAGATTTGGGCCATTTTTACCTGCTGTGTGAACACAGCCTTAATTCCCATGCAAGATTATCTAATATGTGCCAAAGTGTTTCCACTATGATTATGAATTTCTATTGTGCGCATTACTTTTAGAGAGTGACAGATCATTTGACGATTTTGATTACAGATGCGCAAGTACGTTTTTTCTGTTGTTAATTGTGTAAATTTATTTATGAAATTAAGTTAAGACAAAACTAAAACTTTTGTTTATGGCTTTATGTTTATGAAAGCTAATGTGTATCATACTTTCTCTAACTAAGTCTTCTTTTTCTTCACAATATGATATGGATTTGATGTTCATAGGGTAAGTTAAACACACACACTTACACTTAATAATTGCCATGCAATACAACACTGAAACATCCAACTAAAAAAAGAAAAAACCTGAGAAAAACACAACACAAAAAGTGTCAACTATCTTTCATTAGTGATGCATGTTTATTTTTGGCTGTGTAAACTCTGATAATAATTGGTCAGTGGTCACCAGCCTTTTTTCTTCCTTTTCTTCTCTTCAGGTCATTCGGGTCATTCGATTGCTGTGATTTGCCTCCACCTAGCCTCCAAACGCTTAGATCAGCGTTCTCAAGAGCACAGACCACTCCCACCAACTGAATTGATTGATAACTTATTACCGGTACCTGCATCTTGCATCCTATTTACTTTTTTTTTTTTTAAATTAAGGTCATTTTTATTGTTTAAGATGATACAGGGCAGAAGAAAGAAAGTAAAATAAATAAATAAACAAATAAACAAATAAATATCAAATAATTTCAATTAATATGTCTATTTCACAGTAAATAAACAATAATAAAATCAGTAGTAATAATTAAGAATTTAAGAACTTTGTTAGTCATAAGAGCCAACATCACGGGGAAACTGTATGCAACATCAACATCTGAGAGAAAAACAAGTATTGATGCCAAAACATGGTTAATTTTGAGCATAAACGTGTGAGAGAGTGGCGAGATCTGATTTACACCTATCGTGTGTTGGGTCAACACTTGGAGTAAATTTAGCCAGTCTAACCTGGATATATGCATGATTTTTTGGTATTTTAGTCAAAAATACAGTTAATAAAGTATTATAATTATGCATTATAATATACAATTATAAAGACCCTGGGCTACTCAAAAATGCCATTATTTGACATATAAATGCTATCAGAATTTTGATATCTTGCGCCTGCAAAATTTTGTACATTTTTGCTTTCAATAAATCACCTTGGATGCTTTTTCAGAAATCTAGAGTTTTGATGGTGGTTCATGTTATTGCTTATAATTGAATAAAAAAAACAATCAGCATAAGGCGGCCATATTTTTATTGATTTTCTGTCCTCTTAGATTCATGCTGAGCGCTAAAACTGATACGCAGCAAGACGGGCTTGATGTTTAATTTCAAATTGAGTTGCATGTTTACAATCAGCTGTTTTCAGTACTCAAAATCAATATAAATAGAAAGACAGCTAAGTATTATTAATTTTACAATAATATTTATGGTTATTTATCTGTTAAAATGCATTTTTAGTGCCTGTTTGTTTCATTTTGAGGGAAAGGTTGAAGTGCACTCAGTCTAGTGGATTGTGTTCCTAACCCTCTGTCATGTTATCACTTGCACAGTGATGAGAATAATAAGAGTGGGAAAAAATTCTCCAAGGATGCGTGAAGTTTCCCCGTAATGTTGGCTCTTATGACTAACAAAGTTCTTAATGCATATCACAGGCCTACATTACTAAGAGTAGCATTGCTCACAGCAGTATTGGGTGCATTTGCGACTGATAGTTTTAGCGGCGGTTTTGTTCAACAAGTTTTTTACAGATTTTGTTTTGTTTTATATATTGAGTTGTTTGTAGGAAATATTATTATGATTTTTTTTCATACATCTCTACAGATCATTGCATGAATGTATTTAATAGGTGGATCTGCCTCAAGCCCTGCCCAGAAGGATCCCTACTTGGAGCTTGTCTCACTTCAGAAAGCTGCAGGAAACTGGGATATGGAAAGTAAACTTCTTGAAGTGTTTGGCAAGACAGATGAGGAAGTGACTGAGCAGATGCCTGCACAGGTCTGTCGGAGACAATGTTTGTGTTTACATGCAAAAATTTTTGCCAATCTGATTGAATACATTCTGATTACAGATTAAGACTGAGGTGTTTATTTGCTCACTCTGCTCAACACTCTGATGAAAATCTCTGTTTACATGCTCACTACAAGTAATCCGATCCAAAATGACACGCATGCATAGAGAACCACTTAGAGTAAACGTTACCATAACAGCGAACATCACGAGCAGCAATGAGCAGCATTTGTGTTTTTAATCACTTTAAAATGATGTCAGACTGAGGAAAACGTCCTTCACATGTCCTTATTAAAGAAGGCCGAGAGGAAGACGTCGTGTTCTGAGACACATAAGATGGACGTCTGTCCCACCGCTGTCTTTTGAAGATCAGAGCATAAACTTCGGCTGCTCTCCAGTTTCTGCTCCGCCATGTTGAACGGTATAAACTTTCACTATGACGCGACACAGAACATACTTTATCTTTATGATAGGGAATGTAATCAGATACAGGCGTTTACAAAGATATTATTCTTCTATTTAACAGATTATTTACAGGATTACCCACCTCGATCAATCGGATAGAAACTGTATTCCAAATGGCCTCAATCGGACTAGAGTATTCAGATTGAAGTGTATACATGGACATTCTATTCCAATTGAGCTATTAGTCGGATTATTAATGGATTATTAGGCTGCATGTAAACGTGGCTAATGTCACATTGAGTTATGAATACATAGTCTTTGTGTGTGATTTCACTTGTCATGTGATATTTGTGCTTGTCTTGTTTAGTGATCATGGCTGATGAGTTGAAATGATAAATATGTGTTTTTGATGGTGGTGTGCAGGTGGACAGTGCAGTGTGGGCCACTCTTCTTGCTCTGATCTGGCTTCATGGCTTAAAGCCTGCTGAACAGGAAGAGTGGAAGTTCATCGCCATGAAAGCCGCATCCTGGATCTGTTCTCAGAAAGGTCAGAAAAACATCATCAAACATACTATAGAATATTTTAGTCATTATTCCTGTTAGAATCCAAACTTGAGAAGCAACTTTGTAGATGTATAGAGACATATCATCCTTGGACCAGTTTCATCAGGCTAGGCCTCCAATTTCTAAACATAGGACGTCTATTGGCTGGATATTTTTGGTTAGCGGACTCCAGCCAGCAGTGATACTGAGTTCCTAGTATAGATGATGAGTTATACATCGATAGAGTTTTGTAGATATAGATTTGCTTTGCGGAAAGAAAATTCTTCCATTATTTTGTACTACATAGAGATAAAGATACATTTAAGCTTGGTCTTCAAGATCTTTTTGGTTTTTGGTCTTGACTTGGTTTCATTTTCATTCGGGCTCAATCTTAACCAGCTCTCGGCCCACTTTGGGCTCTTGACTCGACCTTGACTAGTCATGGTCTTGGATTGTCTTGGACTCAACAAAGGTGGTCTTGACCACAGCCCTACATCTAGAAAGTGCGTCTATATGGTAGCTGCAGCTGATAAACTGAAGCTCATAGTAATGGTTGTGATTCGTGTTTAATGTGTTTTAGTGGAGAACCTGTCTGAATGCATTCAGGCTGCAAATGCTCTGCTGGGGTGTCAGGTGAAGGAGGAGATTCTTGGTCTTGGAGTGTCTCCTGCAGTCTGACCTACATCTGTCCACAACACTCACCTCACCATTCAGACTCCACATCACACTCACGTCGATTCTTGCTGGAACTAGTGCTGCTGTGTTTCACACATTTTTGACCACAAGTTGTTTGAATGAAAAGAGCTGCAAGTGTCTTTGATGTAATCTCCATATTGCAGCATTGTTCTTCGTGTGAACCTATGAAAGCCTGCCAAAGCCAATTTTACACAATGTACTGTCTTGCATTTTGTCTACTTTTTGTAATCTTTATTCAGCTATACAGCGTGATTCAAAAATATTCATCTGATTTCAAAATGATTGATTTCACTTGTAAATCATTACAGAACAATGCAGTAAACTGTAAATGGTTTAAATGAGCATAAAGTTTATTATGTAATTTTACAAGTCGCTGCTGTCAGAAGAAAACCTCATATCTCCATTTTTGTCATTTTTCAGGTTTTGACATAAATCTAAAAATACTTATTGCTCTTTACATTATTTATAAATTTCATGATGATTGGACCATATAAAATGGCCCAAAATGACTTGTAAAAAAAGTCTGGTTCCATTGACTTACATTAAAAGTAAAGTAGGTTTTTTCCTTCTCCTGTAAAGTTACCATTTTTGAGATACGGGGTTTTGTTCCCACAGCAGCAAAGTGCTCATGAACCTCCTCCAGCTGTACAGACAACATCAACGCCATAGTCAAATTCATCCCATACTGGATTGAGCATGTCGGGTGTCGCTGCACTCACGGCTCTTTCAGTGCGATTTCGGAGATCATCCAGTGTTGTAGAACCAACGACGAACGCTCTGAGCTGTTGAAAGTTCACTGCCCACGAAAATCACGCTGCACAGTTATGACGGATTCACTCTTATTGTAGTGGAGGATGCAGAACGCTTTCTGCTCAGGGGTCGCATCTCCTCACAGACTGAAGGGAGCCATCTTCCACTGACAGTCAGAAACTCTATGACCCCCTCTTTCAATTGGATTGTGATTGGTTCCTAGACGTCTCACGGTTGTAAAAATATGGCACATTGAAATCGGATGAATCTTTTTGAATCACCCTGTAATTTAATGTTGCTGCTGTTGCAGGTCAGTAAAGTATTTTCTACTGACAGATGCTGCATCTTCATAGACTAGTCTGTGATATAGTGTTAAATGGCAACATTGTTACTAAAAATCTGCTTCCATCACTGTTTGTTCACATTTCTTTAATCGGTAAAGCTTATCCATCATATCCAAGTGTGAAAACCTATGTTGTAATATTTAGACAGTTTTGTGCATTTTTTGGAAAACCTACAATAGAGTAACTATTGCACATCCCTGCTTCCCTACTAGAAAAACCAGCATAGCTTGTGTTTTGACAGCTGGTAAGCAGTAAAGGAAGTTATAAGGCTGATCATTTGTCTTACCCAATAAGTGGTCCTACCACACATGGATCTGTCATTACTATAACGTAGTTACTTGGTGCTTCAAATGTTCATTATGCTAATTCAGCCCTACTTCAAGTCTGTTGTACAGGTTACTATTTACCCCCTGATAAGAAGACTTAGGCTATCAAACTATCCTGCCTTTACATTGCATTGCTGCTATTTTCCCATTCAGTGATTTAGGCCAACAAAATGGACTGTGTTGCAGGTTTATGTTGGCATCTACCTATAAACATGTGCTACGGTGGGACATTTTAACAAGGTAGGACAATTCAGAACATCAGCCTAGGACAGAGGTGGTGGCAGCTGCCAGTCAAATCAATCTCCACCCTACTAGAAAAACCAGCATAGGCCAGCAAGAGTGGGTGGCCAGCAAAACAGCGTATGTTGTGTTTTAGATGCTGATCGGCAGCAGTGAAAGTTAGGACGATCAACAGCAAAACCAGCATATGTTGTGTTTTGGATGGTGGTATGTTGGTTAACCAACATGACCATGAGTGCGTATACATGCACTCAATAATCCGTTCATAATCGGATTTCTGCAGTATTCAGATTATTCAAATGGTCGGGTAAACACCATACTCCGACCTAGAAATCCGATAAAGAGGCTGGATTTTAGCTCAGTATTTTCAGCTCAGATTTTTTTTATGCTTGTTATGAAGAAAACGACCATAATACACTGAAACGACATTAAACTAAGATAAAACAGTGATTATCGTAATTTTTTAACAGAGAAAATTCTCACATTTGCGGGTTTTTTTGGTCTCTTGTTCAGCCGTCTTGCCGGTTTTTCTTTTTTTCTCATAACACTCTGTTTGGAGTCTCTGAAAAACCTCCTCGGACAGCCACCCCTCTATCTCAACAAGAATTGGGACACCCTACCCCTAGACATGAACGCGCAAAACAGAGGGCTAAGTGGTAGGGGCGAGGGATGAAATGGGACAAACTGGCTGCTACAGAGCATCAAACCCCATGTTGTCAATCATGGAAAATCCACTAAAATATGTAAATTAATCAATTTGTATTCTATTTCTTACAATTATCTAAGAACAAAGTAGGTCACACCAGTGACTTCAGCTAAAAGCTTCATATGAAATCATGAGCTAAATGAGAAAATCTCTGATAACTGAAAGACACAGTGGACTCACCACGTGCTTTTCTTCATAGATCCTCAGAAAACAGGTAAAAGGAAGTCAAGTGATGTCATCAGTGTGACTTTTATATCAAAATAAGAGATTTTTTGTTACGCTGTAACACCAGTGACACGACAGTTATAAGGCTGATCACACATGTTGTGTTTTGGATGCTGGTATGCTGGTCAACCCGCATAACTTAGTGGGTGACCAGCTAAACCAGTATCAGACAAGCATAAACCAGCTTAAACCAGCTTAGACCAGTGTGATACGCATGCTGGTCTGTGCTGTTTTTTATTATTATTTTTAGCAGGGTCATTTGTTACAGTGCTTGGTACTTGTTTTGTATAGACCAGCAACTGTTGCTAGGTTACAGGTGCATAAAGTGGAATGATACTAAAAGAGAATGCGGTTAGAGACCTCCCAGCCAACCACACTGCAAAGTGTGCACTAACAATGGGATAATGTTGGTGTAATGAGAAAGAAAGCTGAGTTTCTGTTGTCACTGTGGTTTTTATACACAATGCAGCACGTACTGTTCTTCACTCGCACGCGTTTCCTGTTGCTCCGCTTGCGCTCAGCATGTATTGTAATGCAGGTTTAAGTGCACAGTGAGTGCTGTAGCTGTGTTCATGACAGCTTCACAGACTGAGAGCTTCCTACTTCAGAACATTCACACAACTTCAACCATTTGAAGTTGGGAAAGTGTGGTGCTCATAGTGCTCTTGTGGCTGCAGTGTTTGTATAAAGTGTCTTTCCACATTTTCTTAACCGCTTATCCTTCTGGGTCGCAGCGGGTGTGGAGCCCATCCCAGCGGCCACTGGTCAGAAGGCAGGAAACACCCTGGACAGGCCGCCGGTCCATCACAGGGCAGACAGACAGACATATACAATCCCACACACACTCATACCTAGGGCCAATTTAGTACCTATTTTTATACAGAATGATTAAATATAAGTATTTTATATTATTAAGTTTTCAATGTGCACCGATCAGGCATAACATTATGACCACCGCCTTGTTTCTATGCTCATTGTCCATTTTATCAGCTCCACTTACTATATAGGTGCACTTTGTAGTTCTACAGTTACAGACTGTAGTCCATCTGTTTCTCTGGATACTTTGTTAGCCCCCTTTTACCCTGTTCTTCAGTGGTCAGGACCCCCATGGACCCTCACAGAGCAGGTACAGTTTGGGTGGTGGATCATTCTCAGCACTTCTGGAGTTTTTAAACACTGTGTCCACTCACTGTCCACTCTATTAGACACTCCTATCTTGTCAGTCCACCTTGTAGATGTAAAGTCAGAGACGATAGCTCATCTGCTGCTGCACAGTTTGTGTTGGTCATCCTCTAGTCCTTCGTCAGTGGTCACAGGACGCTGCCCACAGGACACCGTTGGCTGGATATTTTTGGTTGGTGGACTATTCTCAGTCCAGCAGTGACACTGAGGTGTTTAAAAACTCCAGCAGCACTGCTGTGTCTGATCCACTCAGACCAGCGCAGCACACACTAACACCACCACCACATCAGTGTCACTGCAGTGCTGAGAATGATCCACAACCCAAATAGTACCTGCTCTGTGAGGGTCCATGGGGGTCCTGACCACTGAAGAACAGGGTAAAAGGGGGCTAACAAAGTATGCAGAGAAACAGATGGACTACAGTCTGTAACTGTAGAACTACAAAGTGCACCTATATAGTAAGTGGAGCTGATAAAATGGACAATGAGCGTAGAAACAAGGAGGTGGTCATAATGTTATGCCTGATCTGTGTATATTAGTGCATAGAATCTGAGCTCTCTGAGAGCTACCATGTTTCCTATCACTGTACAAAAGATGCAAGAGGCTTCTTGTATTGTTGGATTGCTCAGAGCAGTTTGGATCTGTAAGGACTTACAACAAATAATTGAACTGTTTCAGGTCCCACTTTATATTAAGTGTCTCTAATAACTGTGTAGTTACATGTGAACAACATGTGCAACAACAACGTAACTACTAATGATTTAGTCACTGTTACAGATGGATTACAGAAGTTCACCTTATGTAGTTACACATGTGTATTAACTTCAGTTTTGCCTCATGTAATTACCCAAGCATATTTTATTAGTTGTAACAGCCTATTCTCTCTCATGTAATAACACAAGTGTAACAACACAAATGTAATTATGTAATCGCTGTTGTCGGAAGAAAACCTCGTATCTTCGTTTTTGACGTTTTTGAGTTTTTGACATAACTTGAAAATACCTGTTGATCTTTACATTCTTTGTGAATTTCATGATGAATGGACGAAAACAAACAACCGAAAAATACTTTTCCTGTAAAGTTGTTATTTTGGAGATGATGGAGAGGTTTTCTTCCACCAACAACGATATGTTGTGTTTTGGATGGTGGTATGTTGGTTAACCAGCATGACCATGGTGGGTGAGCAGCTAAACCAGCACCAGACCAGCACTAGGCTGGCATAAACCAGTTTAGATCACATACGCGTTTTAACAGGCAGACAGAATGAAGTCTATTATATAGCATATAACATGCAAATCAGCTCATATACAACTAAAAC